CTAGCCGAACTACGCGGGTCGCCATTTTGTTTTGCCCAGAAGTTCTCGCAAGATCTACTCCTCCCCCCCCCCTCTCTCTCTCTCTCTCTCTCTCCCTCTCTCTCTCTCTCTCTCTCTCTCTCTCTCTCTCTCTATCTCTATCTCTATCTCTCTGTCGGCAATTTATTAAATCTGCAACCTGCAGATTACAACTAGATCTAGATTCGAGACTTTAGTAAAGGCAGAGTCCAGGGAAAAACATCAATTAAATTCGTGTGGTGCAGATGAGTAAAGAGAGACCAAAACAATCTCTCTATTGCGACTATCATTGCAAATAACTTCGCCTAATACATGTTCCGGTAGATTTAACTACCTATAAATAGATGGAAGTTTGACCCGTGTCAAAGGTTGGGAGGTGGCTGACGATTCGAGAGGTGGCTGCGGGTTGACGAAAGGGAAAAGCGCACCGACGCCACGGCTTTACAGGAGAAGCTGTACATGTCAACAGAAAAACTGAGCAGGACGGCCCAGCATGATAGATACCGGACTTCTGTACTTCACATGTGAGATCGAGAAAAAGATTAAGGAAAGGCAGGACTTTCTAAAGTTCCTGATAGGACAGAGCCAAATGGGTAGTGAGATTTGACAACTCCACAAAACGATGCGAGTTCAAGAACGCCCAATCTGGGATTCAAACCCGCCCCATAGTCCAGCATGACAGCAATTGAACTAACAGAGCGCCCAGAAATACCGATTACGTATCCAGCTTAGACATTATTGGTGTTGACAATTCATATAATACATTGCCAGATGGACAGGGAAGAGTTTTGCCCCGACCCAAGCCCTTGCCGAATGCAGCCTGAGGAGGAAACAGCTGGGGTAACGTTCAGCAATCCTGCGCCCCCATGGCCTCAGGAACGGTTAAGGGACTTACGATTGTGATTGTGATCTATGTGTGCGACTATGAGTCTGTTTGTGAATGTAAGAATAACATATGTGAGCATGCAAATGTGTGTGGAAGAGAGGGTTTGTGAGGGAGTAGGTCTATGTGTATATGTATGTTAACCCCCCCCAAAAAAAAACAAAAAACAAAACAAACAAAAACAAACAACAACAAACAAAGAAAAAAACAACAAAAAACAAAAACAACAACAAACAAACCAACAAACCCCCCCCCCCAAAAACAACAAAACAAAACACAGAAAAACAAAAAAAACCCAACCAAAAACCCCCCAAAACAAAACAACAAAACAAAACAAAAACAAACAAGCCCCCCGAAAAAAAATCACCCCCAAAGGGAATTTTATTACTAACTCCCTCCCCCCATCGACAAAATTTTAATAACTTAGGAGCTATGCTTTCGACCCAGCCTGTCAGAGCCAACTCGGGCTGAGAGGGATACATCCCAGCACAAAGATGGATGAAAAATGTTCTCCCTACTTGGGAATCGAATTCGGGTCTTCTGCGGACGACATCGAAGCGCCTAACCACCACCAATGATAGTACTTAACAAGATAGTTCGCTCCTCTCTTTAAGCCAATTAAAAGGTGTCCTCAAAATCTGGTGGCGCTCTCTTCGGAAAAGCGCGCCCTTTGCGAACAGAGTTACCCTACTTGAGTGGAAAAAAGTCATAGTGGAACTAACAAGTTTTACAACAAATTACACTTCATATTTCGGAAGAACGCTTTTTTAAAATGGTTACGCAGACAAAAAACCTCTTCCAGTGGAAGAGGCGACGATTTTCTTCGTTTTATTTAGCTTTATATTGGTAGGCGAGAGGTCATTTACGCCCCCCCCCCCCCGCCAAAACAAAAATCCCCACAAAAAAACAACAACAAAAAACAACTCCACTCTGAACGAACCCGAACAGCTGGTGAACAGCAGCCAATCAGCGCACGCAAGGGGGTGCTATTCCTATTTTTCTTCTGGAGAAACAAAAGAGAGCCATCTGAAGCAATGAGCTGACTTCCGTGGACACTATTTTGGCTGAGTGAACCATCTTGTTATAAACTATCTTTGCCGCCACACCAAAGAGGCCGGTACGTACCAGTTTGAAGACGTACATCTCCAGCGCCGTGTAGTCGTTCACTTTGGTGCCGTTGAGATGGATGAAGAAAAAGATGTAGGACCACATGTTGTGTTCGTGGCGCACGTGGTGGTCAAACCCCTGAAGTATACACGAGGAATGTTTGAATTCATTACTAAGTGAAGTGGTGT